AATACATATAGAATTTATATGTACTCCTAATCAGAAGTGGGCAACATGATCAACTTTCTGGTACACGTAAAATATTTAAGAATTCCCTGAAGTGTATTTGGAAACTATTTGCCAGTCATTATTTTCATACCAGCTTAGTATGTTACAATATACATCAATAGATAAAATAATGCATAGAATGCTAAATTGGGTTACTTAAGCACAAAACACATGAAGGCCATTTTACACCTTTAGTATTTAGTGTTTTATTCAAGTAAGTGAAATTTGTATAGTAAAATGAATAATAGTGTTCAATTTTGTAAACTATTTTATATATATATATATATATATATATATATGTATAAAAAAGCCACATCCATAAACATATTTTACCCAATTTCTAAATGAATGCTTAACTCCTGTATCATCCAATATTTTTTAGATACCTAGAATTTTAAACAAAACATATATGGTAAAAAATATATACAGTTAAAGAAAAAGTCTAAAATATGAATTATAAACACAGTAATTCACACATAAAAATAAATTCCCCTTGCATTTTTGTGGTTTACTGACACAAACATCAATGCAAACAAAATAGGTTTGAGCAGAACACTAATAAAGAAGCTAGATGGCTTATTCAGCTGCTTTGGGTGTAGATGAGTCATACCTTATCAAATACAAGATGAAGTTCATGTGTCAGAAAAAGATATTGATGCATTGACACTTTCTACACACTTCATTGCTCCACTTGTGTTCTTTATTCTTTTTCACGTTCACGCTTTTTATTTGATACCAGCAGTATACATATTTCACTCACTAGTTTTTTTTAATAATGAAGATATATTTTAAGTGGAAACATTTTTGAATGCAATAATATAAGTTTAAAATTATTTTTTATTTCTATATCAAAACTTTCTTTACAGTGTATTATTCTTCCTGACATGCCATGCACTGCACGCACACTATCCACATCTCCCTCCTAGTAATCTGAAAACCTGATTATACAGGTGCAATAAAAGCTATATTTAGAAATTTATAGTTGAAAAAATTTACAATTAGTCTACTTGCAGAGAAATGTTGAAACTTGTTCATTTGTAGAAAGCAAACAGAAGTTAGATATATATATTACTAACACTTAAAATGAGCATTTATACTATAATTAGATACCAAAAACATTCAATATACAGTGTACATAAAATATGAGGGTTGAACACAAAATTTGAAACCCCCAGTGTAAGACGCAAACAATCTGTTTCCATCTTTGGCCTTTCGAATTCCTTCAATTCTTCATAGCATTGTATCAGTAAGTTCTTGAAAGATATGCTGAAGATTCAGTTCCTTTAAGGGTACAATTTGACATAAGGAATGGCTATCTCACTAATTAATGATAATCTTCCAATCACTGATAAATTTGATGTATGAGATGCTTTCATCCTGTTATAACCTTTGTTATTATTATTTTGGCAAAGTCAAGAAGTTGTTTATCATTGAAACACCTGTTAATCACATACATCATGCTTTCTTTGAAATACAGTAAGTTGACTGTCCCTGTTTCTGTGAAACTATACATAATAATGTTTACTATAATTCTGAGTTTACTATATGTATCTTTACAAAATATAGCAAGTCTGTTGTACAATGTACACAAAACATCAGATTTTTTTTTTGAAGAAGTATTTTTCCCTAAAGATTTGTCAGTGAATTTGCAAAGCAGTTACAGAGGCAGTATGAGTGACATGCAATTTTCAAGCTAAGGATAAAAGCACTTCTTTTTATTTTACATTATTTAGGTTTCATTTGTATAATTTCTAGAACCTCCTAAATGAATATCAAGTTTTTCAGTAAAATTTAATATTTTATCTACCATAACACAAACTATATTGAAATCATCAATATACAGTAGAGTTTCCCAAGGTGGTCAATATCAACCCCTGGGGTTGATGAGACAGTACAGAGGGTGGATAAAGACCTAGAGGTTGAGAGGGAGTTGAAAATGGCCCCTATTCATATGCTTGCTAAAGCTTATCAGGCCCATCCATCTCATTAGAGGAAATAAAAGTTGATTATATATATTGAAGTGTCTTGACTATGAAACTTAATTTATAATTTATATTCTGAGAATTTGGGGGTCTATGACAACTTGAAGTTCATTAAGGGGTCGACAACTCAAAAATATTTGAAAAACCCCAATATACAGTGAAATGAAGTTGAAAAATATGAAATAAAATGGACAGTATTATTTTTTCCTTTGAACAGATTCTTTACGCATGCCACAGGCCTTCCACTCCCCCCTACTGGAATTGCAAGGTTCCAACATGTATCTCATGCAAATCATCATGCATCACCTCCTCACGAAGAGGGGTATGACATGCTCATGTGACGCATGTGAATCTATCTACATTTCTTTACCGAACTATCACTTTGAAGTTTGGCAGAAGATGTCAACACTGGAGAAATGTAGGGAGGAAAGGTGGGAAGTGTGAAAGTGGTAAGTTCCTACGAAAAAAAATAAATTTCAGTACAGGAAAATTATAACTTCCGATATGGTACTTACCTCCCATTACAAGATTAGTTAGAATCCCGCATTGATAAGAAGGAGGGACAGGTGCTAGGGAACAATAGATGTACCCCCTGAAAGTGTCCAAAGGATACCCCTGGAAATGAGGGATTCAGATCCGAAGAGGGAAACTGAACCACTTTTGAGCAAGGTATACTCTTTGCCCAACTGTGGAATGTGTAAAATATAAGGGCAAAAAATGAGAGGAGCACATCCGAGTGGGAAAGAATGTGGCAGGAAAGTGATCTTTACCATAGAAATGTACTGTAACTCAATCACACAAAGAGAAAGATGGGTAAACATAGGATGACGTTGCGATGGGCTCCCCACTAGGTCCAACTTTAGCTAATGCATTTCTCTCTCATTATGAACAGAAATGGATTGACACCTGTCCAGTTAACTTTAAGCCTGTTCTGTAAAGAAGGTATGTGGATGACATTTTTATTCTTTTTAATAACAGTGATCAATGCTCAAAATTTGTAGAATACCTTAACTCACAACATTAAATTTACATGTGACGTTGAAAATAATAATAATTTACCTTTTTTAGACATGCTCATTAACCGTAATGCTAATGGATTTTCCACATCAATTTACCAAAAAAAGATGTCCACTGGTCTCCTTACACACTTTGATAGCTTTATCCTGTTTACGTATAAATGAAACCTTGTTACATGCTTACTAAATAGAGCTTACAACCTGTGCTCCACATATCTTAATCTACACTCTGAAATTTCGTTCTTACATGACATCCTGAAACGCAACTGCTATCCACAACACTTATCAGAAAACATTACCAACACCTTCCTAACAAAGAAACTCACAAATCCAATTAAGATAGCAACTGTACCTAAACTTACTATATACTCGTGTCTTCCCTATACTAGCAAACAAAGCTTAAATTTAAAAAATCAACTTAAATGCATTCTTGGTCATTACTACCCTCAAGTGGATTTAAGATTAGTTTTTAAATTTGGCGTATAGAGGAAACACAGGGGTTATTACATTTTTTTTTGCATTTTGATGGAAATTCCCATATGTTCATAGGCTCTAACTTTTAAATGGCATTTGGTTTTGCCAGTATAGGAGGCCTTACAGTCTCCACACGTGTAAAGATAGACAAGCCAAGAACAATAAGGAATGGGGAGGAGATCTTTAGTAGGGAAAAAATTTTTATGCATGATGTGGCATAGTGAAGAAACAGGACATCAATCTATACTATCAAATTTCTCTATCCTCTGCAAGTCTAATACTGACCTGGAATTATTGATCAAAGAAACCCTCCACATCAAACAGCAGTCCCCAACACTGAACAACATGCAGTCTTCATTTAAATTACACATATTTTAATATGTTCATATTACTGATTTGACCTTTTTTTTTCGTTGTGTTTTCTTGCTGTAGTTTCTCCCCATGATTACTGTTTAGTATTTTATTTGTTTAATTATTGTTATATCTAGCAACTGTAATTTGACAATGTATAAAGACTTATGTAAATTCATTTTATTCTGCTTTAGTCTATTTAATATCTTGAATTAGATGAGTACATGTGAAGCATATGTTAATTTTTGTTGTCCAATACCTACATACATTAAATAGACAAACAACCAAAAATCAATCTTGTTTCTTATTGAAAGATCTATACAAGCACATGAACACCATACATAAACTTCATTTCATACTAAATGGGAGCTTTCAATGGTACAGATCACAACTCCCACCAGATGACTAGGATATTGTTTTCATACCTCTGTGTGTGTTTCAATAGTCTAGCTTGAAAAGTTTTTCATTTGATTTTGATCAAGTTTGGAAAAAGAGATTTAGTGTTTCCCAAAGACCAATCAATTAGCTTTGGGTAAATGCAAGTCACATGGAAGGTCAAACACATAACTCAAGAAGTCTTCATCTGGTTTTGATGAAATACAATACACAGTTTGTATCCATCAAGGAACAACTGATTAATTTTTGGTGAATTTAGCTCACTGGTCAAGATCACACAGAAGGTCAACCACTTTTGCTATAATGGTAGTTATTGGGATTTTGGAATATGGTCAAAAGTCAATAAAAAATAAAGAGAAATAAAGAGGATCTTAGCATCTGGACCAACATTTGAGGGTGAAAAATTGTTTTATGTATATTTTAGGTTGTTTAATGCAAAGGTAAACAAGTGCAAATTGTGTTTATGAAACTCTTGATCTTGACTTTTGATCCATAGCTACAAATAGTTAATGTCTAGAACTTTGAAAACTTTGTGTGCAGTACATTTAAACATTTGGTCAAAATCCATCCAATCTTGAGATATCCCACCCACAAGATTTGGATAGATAGATAGGAATAAGCCAACTTAAGTACTGCTGTTGTAATGAGGTAATGAAAACAATGTGGGGTGGAGTTGCATTCTCTCTGTGCCTTTCTAGTTTTATTACATTTTAGGCTCAATTAAACAAATGCCTCATCCTACCTTAAGTTCATCTTCAAATCGTTTTCCATCTGCAACTGCTTGGTTTAGACGTGACCTAAGTTCATGAGATTGAGATTCTGCATAAAACACTCTTCTGTCTGCAGTGGTAAGATCCTTCTCCTTTCTTTTTAATCTGACACAGAAAGAAAACAATATATATATATACACCTGGAAAAAAGTTAAGCACCCCCGTGTTTTTTTCAAGTGATTCAGATTCGACGTTCTTGTGACTGATTATAAATTACCATTCAATCTAAACGTGTT